GTGAATAATAGCATGATAATCAATTATTTTAATGAATATTAATATCTCCGCCCGCCCGCCCGCATTCTTCCCGCGTATGCAAGGAGAAACAAGAAATCTAATTGGGGTGGCCTTATTGCAATGAATATCATTAAATAATGTGACCACACTTTTCATTGCAATTTCTGGACATGGGAAGACATCTTTAATCAATAATAAGAATAGGTGTGGTGACACGCCCATAAAATTTAAAAGGAGCAAAAATAATGTCTAGAACAGGAAAAAGCACACAGTGCAAGAAACTAGTGGAGAGACTGGTATCCAGTGGAATATCAGCAAAAGAAATGCATTTCCCAGGTAAAGGTGTATTTCTGGACTTTATACACAATGAGTTGAGGCTGCCCTTTCTTCTTTAGATAGGACTGCCGTGCTCCAGTTACTGGGAGTCAGATTGATAATTACTTGAAGAATAATTTAAACATGGACGATCATGTCATTCATTTATTGTTCTCAGCCAATCGATGGGAGCTGGAGTAAGGATTCTAATTTTAGATTTTTGTTACTAAAATTAGCACAAGCTAAAATGAATTTTGTTTCTAAAATTAGATCGTTTGGTTTAGGATGTTAATTTTAGTAACAAAAGAATCAAGTTTACCCATTTTAATTTGTTTGTTGGAGTATTAATTTTAGCATCAAAATTAATGTAATTTTAATTTGGAACAATAAACTCTCATTAGGGCTGGGATGTGTTGAGATTTGAAGTCAGGTACAACACTAGTTATTGACAGATATGCTCATTCAGGTGTCGCTTTTACAGCTGCTAAAAAGGTAATGTACATGTATTGAAAGTACCAAACAGCAGGAAATTTTGGAAGGAGTTAAACATGGTGTTTTCATAGCCATTTGCCTAAATAAAAATGTCATTTTGAGCCATTATTTTGAGGGACATGACCACAAAATTTTTTAATTATAATTTGCCGTTCACCAATATTGTGCAATTTGCCAAAATTTAAATTCTTACCAGCCTTCAATATTTTCTGATGTGTAATAAAAGTGGAGTAATTTTAAAGCCATTTTTTGGAAAAAACCATGGGCTATAGCCTTGGGTATTTTTCAGAATTTTGGCCTTTTCTTAAAATGGCCATAACTCGAAAAATTAAAGTCAGAATCAGCCCAAACTTTCTACAGAGCATAAGTACATCAATATGTATCAGAAACTGTTACAGTATTAAGAATTGGAGGGTGATTTTGAGCCATTTATGGGCTATAGCCTTGGGTATTTATTCTAAAGAGACTACTCAGTTGTCCTATTAAAGTCACATTCCTCATACTCCAGTAAACTTACATTATTGTATTATTATTGGTGGTTGGTATTATTATGGGATAAACACAGTCAAACATTATAAGTCCAAAATCATCATTCATTATGTTGATAGGTAG